CCTATCAAGTTGCAAGCCGTGTCTTTCTGTGGGTGGAGGATTGTAAGGTTGGACCAGTCCCTCCCCTAGTGCAGGGAGAAGCAGTGCGGCTCTGGGCCTGCCAGGAATGCAGGGCCAATCTGTCTGCGTGGAAGGAGGGGGGCTTCTGGATTGAACTGTGGTCTTGTGCTAGAACGCGTGAAGCTCTCGGGAGCCAGCACTTCCCAGAGGAAACTGTGATAGTGCAAGTGCTGGCACTGGCAATGTGATCAATGCCCAGGTTTGGTGGTGCCCACCATGCATGGGAGTGGGGTGTCTGGCTGTCTTTCGCTTGCTTCTATTCCAGGATTAAGTTCTCCTGGCCCATGTGTCTGACTGCAGGGGAGGGAGCAGAGGGATTCTGCAGAGTAAACAATCTGTTTTGTAGCTATTGAAGCCGTAACTGTTTGGGGGGGTGCATTGTTGTGGCTTTGAGCCTAGTGCTCTCCTGGGGCTGCACAGCAAACCACGCAGCCCCCTCTTATTAATGAACAGTAGATTGTGGGAGGGGGAGGGAAAGCAGAGGCACCTCTTGGAGAGCATCACACCACTGCATGATCTCCCCCCTCACCTCCACAGGCCCCCCGGCTCCAGGGAAATGTACCTTGAGCTCCTCGTTGAATGGCTGGGATGCTCCGTGCCTTGGCCTGTATTGTACCTGGTGTGGAGAGAACAAAGCTGCTCATAACCTCAGCAGTTTTATCCTGATGCCCTAGGTGATGGAGTGTGCCAGGAAAAAGCATTACAGGGAGTCACTGGCCTGAGTGCGTTGGCTTTGTGTGTAAGCCTCAGTCCACCTGGCCTTTCTGGGACTGCAGAGTTCCCAGCTGGGCTGACACAGCCTTTCATCCTTCCCTGGCAACTGCACTGACCACCGGGGGCTGCGGGGTAAGACTCTAACAGCCGTGGCCTGTTGCATGCGGTGGCTGGTCTAGCCTGGGCATTTCTCTAAGTGGAACACCCAGTAATGTTAGCTCGATGCCACGATGAGGGATCAGCAAGGTGGTCGATTTCTGAGAGGGTCTGAAGATAGAGAAGCTGACCTGGTCATGGTATGCAAATCACTGTAGTGAAATCTCAGGGTCTGATTCTCGCATGAACCTGGGCTGGGATGGCTCATGTGAGCAGTGGTTACCAGATTTGTCCTCTTTAATTAGAATCCTTCCCCTTCCCCAATATTTACTGGATTCAGTCCATTCTCCTTCTGTCCTTAAAGAGCCACATGGCCAAACCAAGAGCTGTTATCTAAAACTTTAATTAAAAAATGAAAGCATGATGCTGGCTCTGGCTCAGGGGTAAAAGCCATTTCTGGGGCCCAGAAAACACAAGACTGAGCGTATTTCAATAACAGGTGACATGTGAAGCACAAAAACAAGCTGAGCTAAGGCCAGAATGCCCTGGGGCTGTAGGGAGCAGCCAGCAGATGTTTTGACTAATCGGCTACTATGCTGCAGACAGATTGTGGGCTTCCACCCCAGAGCTGGCCGCATAACCGTGGTGCTGTATGGACTATGCGCGGTTTGTGCTTTGTGAGCTTTCGGCATGACAAGTGCTGAGAAAACGGAGCTGTTAAAGAAACCGCTCTCTAAAAGTATGCTAAATGGTAGAGTACCAGGTCCGACACATTATATAAGGTCCTGGCTGTGGGCGTGGGCACGCATGTGCACTCACTCTAGCATATTTCAATTGATTTAACCTCCTATCCCCCAAACGGCAGGATCTTGCCAAACTCTGGTAACAGGCTGGGAGTGACAGCTCTAAAACTCCATCCAAGTTACACAACACAGGGAACAAATGGACTTATGCTAGGGCTGTGATTGATCTGTCAGGCTGGGAGACCAGATCCCTTCAAGACAGGGTGGGGAGCTGGAATCCCGACTGTCTGTATTGCCCTGAGCCTCAACGTCTGAGTAAGCAGGGTGGGGAAAAAGCATCAACTAGACAACTGTGCCTTTATATGGGAGTCTAATAAGAAGACTTGGCCTAATGCTTGGCTTTCCTCTTGGGTCGCACAGGTCTTCTAGAAAACGTTTTCCCAACCTGCCATGATGTTTCTTTTCCAAATCTGAGCTCAAGTTAAATCACAGCAATAGTTGAAGGATCTGAGACGAGGCATATCAAGCTGGGCCTTGTCCAAATATCTGCCCACCTAACACTTCTCCTTTCCCCCCTCCCCCCCTCCAGTTTCGAGTGGCTGCAGTAATCCGCTCTTCCTGTCCTGAACCGTTGCCGTGTGTTAAACATCCACCCTGGAAGTGACTGCGCTTTTTTTTTTTTAAGCCATTGCCATATGGTTTGTGAAGTGCTTGGGGCTCATTCAAGTTTAAAGGTGATCAGTAAATTTGAGATTGACTAGAACAGTCAAGACCGCTTTCAGAATTTAAATGTGAATCTTCCCCCCCGTCTCCCCAGTCACTTTGGTGCTACTCACATCTATTGGTGTGGTTTTATTTTAGAATAAGTGTAAAAGGGTCCGGTTTTGTGCTGACCTTGATCTGGGAGCAGCAGAGGAAACCAAACGCACTGAACCATTACACTGTCTTTCTCCACACGCTATCAGGCCTGGTCTACCCCATGGGGGGGATCGATCTAAGTTACACAACTTCAGCCACATGAATAACGTAGCTGAAGGCGACGTACTTAGACCTACTCACCGCGGTGGCTTCACTGCGTTGAGTCGCCTGCTGCCGCTCCCCCGTCGACTCCGCCTGCGTCTCTCGCGGTGGTGGAGTACAGGAGTCGACGGAAGAGCGCTCGGGGGTCGATTATCTCGTCTAGACTAGACGCAGTGGATCGATGGCTGCCCACCAATCCAGGGGGTAGTGGAGACCTACCCTCAGAACACTCACAGCTGGGTCTAACCTGCCTTGGTGGCATCCATTTTAAAAGGCCAGCAGAGGAGCCGCTGGGCCTCTTGCATATGAGTTCACTGCTCCAGGAATGAAAGAAATGAGCTCTCTTCTCTGCAGCAGCAGCAGCAGGCTCAGTGGGAGTTGAGGGCGTTCAGCATCTCGTAGGATACCGGCCTTTTAAGCTCCCTCTGTCTAAGGTGGAGTTCTGTGACATAGGCCAACTTGCCCCCTCTGCCTTTGGCAGGTAGCGGTCTGCAGGTCTGTTACCGAAATGGATCCCCCTCGCCCCCGCCCAGGCCTGTCTGCCTAGGGTCATGCTACAGCATTTGCTGAAGGTTCTCTAGCTCAGGGGGCCCATGGTACTTACTCCCTAATTTCCCACCTTGTGTATGTGCTTGCACCAGCCCAGAGATGGGAACCGCTCCTGGATCGTCATGCAGGGTGTTGTAAACAATGATGCAAGGTGCAGGCTGATGACTTGGGCCCAGTTCCAAGATGTCCTATTTACATTTTAGCTAGTCCCACTCACCCATGGACAGGGGTGGGCAGGATGAGAAGAAGCCACTTATGTTGATTTCCCTGCAGCTGAAGCAGAACTTTGATTCCTCCCGGACACAGCGTAGGGGGAGGGTGGCTTCAGAGCAGGTAGAGAACAAGTACCGCAAAAAGATGCGTCAAACTCCTCCCTGCTGTGAATCCTCTGGTTTAGGCTACAAATGATAGTCACCCCCCACCCCCGGTGATTAGATCAAGTCATTCCACCGCAGGGACAGGCCACTTCCCCTCCAACCTCAGACCGATACTAAGCTGTGAAGAGAATTTTCTTCAGCTTCTATTTTCGGTGTAACCTTTGACAGCATCCTCCGCCTGTGATCTCTCCATTGCGGTAGGGACGCCATGCGGCTGGCCCAGGATGTCTAGCCGCACTCGGAGCGGGAAGGGCGTCTCTGCAAACTGGCTTCCCGAAGTAGCTCTGAGGAGAGGAACGTGCCCTCTCCTGTGTTCGTGTTCTCCTTTGCTGCCCGTCTGTGTAAGAGACGGGACCTCTCTGGAGCAGCAGAGCCTATTTCAGAATGTCCTTAAGCAGGTGTGAGTCCAGCTCTTCACCTCTACTGTAAGGGGCATCCCAGACATAAAACCAGTTTAGGTCCGCGCTCCCAGAGCTGCTCGTGGGGGTCAAGAGTGCTCAGCAGAAGCGATGTTACCTTTATGGCCCCAGCCTGAGGAGTCCTTTCCCAAAGGAAGGTTAGACAAGCCCTGAAGCCCCTCTCAGGGTGAGAAGTCGTGGCTAGCTTAACCCAATGCCCTCTGCAATGGGGGAGTAGGTGAACTTTTAAACAAGCGCAACCTCAAGCCATTTTAGCCTCGGAGTTTCTTTAGTTGTTAAGACGGCACCATTAGCTGCAGCCCCATTCACGCTCTGCCTGCCCTCTGCAGCTTGACCCCAGTCTGCCAACGTTTCCAATGACGCAATCGAATGTAAGGCCCTGCCTTTCAGCCTCCTTCTCAAGGGCCAGAGCAGGAGACCCGCTCTTGGAAGAAGTGAAACAGAAATAAACGGCCAAGATCAAGGCTTCTGTTTCAGCCAGAGCTCTAGCTGCAGCCCGCAGGAGCATGGGCTGTGCTCATCACCTTGGTTAGGGTTTCTTTGATTTGCAGGTTGCACCTTTTGATCCTTACAATGGAAAACCCTTTTCCCGGCTTGCTTTCACATGAGCACTATATTGTACGCTCTTGTCCCGCCTTGCTCTAAGACCTTGGAAATCGCAATGGCACAGGTGGCTGTAACAGGACAGAGGCAGAAGGGTAGCCTTGCTCCTGTCTTTCCCTCTCTTTCTAAATGCCATGGGGACTGATAGCTCAACCCCCCCCCCCTTCTCTGGAGAGAGGAGCTGCAGGTTCTTTCACTTCACAGCTCTGGGAGATGCTACTTTCATGTCTTAGGAACTCCTTGCCCATTTCTCTGCGGGAGCTTGATGCTGGAAGACTCCCTAAGAGGAAGTCAAAGAACAATCCTGACCCAGCCTCTGCTGTTCTTTGAGACCATGGTGTGTGCTGCTGTTCCAAGACTCCCTTCTCTTAACAATATATTGCAGCTGGAAGGCTGAAAACAAAGAAACAAATCTCACGTTTCAAATTGAGTATGGCTTTTCAACCCCATCAAATAGCTTTATTCACACAAACGTCTCTTAATTTACAACGCCTCTGCCATTCATACACATCAGGGTATCCACAGTGTTCAAGGAACTTAAATACGTCTCATACCAACCCAAGTAAACCAAGTACAAAAAATATTTATATAAAGTTCACACATAGGTCCTAGATTACCAGCTTCTGTGCAAAAAAGAAAAATACAGATTTATTAACTAGTATCATGAAGTAACTTTAGTTTGGAGTCTGGGTTTAAGCCTTCCCACTCTACCTAGTTCAGGAGAGAAGCTGCATTAAATATCCAACCACCAATCCCTCTGGGAGCCACACCTTAGAGTTAAAAGCATTGAGACGGCAAACTGCAGGAAGATGGAATTTGTCAGGTTGCAGTTAGAAGAGGCCACTTCCTACTGTGCTGTTCACCCTGCCTCCCCGCCCACTCTGACTCTAAAAAGTGTGAAAATGCTTTTAGACCAGAATGGTGTAACTGCTTTGTCACTGGTTGTTTCAGGAAAGTGGCAGGCCGTCATTTCACACTGCAGTCATGGAAACGGGCAGCACAAGGTAAGCAGGCCCCAGTTTACATAGGTAATAGCTAGCACTGTAGTGTAGAGAACAGAACAGCCTATGCAATGATTTCCAGGAACTATGGCCAGGGGCGCCAGCCGGAGATGGATTGCTTGCAACATGGAAGGAATGGATAAATCTGAATGCCAAGTAATTTGCTTTGTTCAGCCACACAAACTAGTGTTGCCAAGCATCAGAAGAAACACAAAGTCCAGCTCCCGGGGACTGCAGCCAAGCCTCAAATCTGAATTGCTTCAATAAAAAGACCGGGGTCTCCAAGAAAGTTGGTTGGCTACAATGCAATATGTAGTACACAGCTTGAGGGGAATTTGAGCAGCATGGGCTAGATCCAGCTACAGATGATGATGTAGGGGTGGATGCTGAAGAATGGGGTAAGTGCTTGATTGGTCTTCTAGAGAAAAGTCTCTGAAGGGCACCACCCCAACTCCAGAGGGAAAGGGAGATTGGCTTTACAGCAACAGTAACACCAGTAGCCCCTGGGAAGGGTTTTGCCTAACATGCTTTGGCAGTGTGGTTAGAGGAGGAAACCACACAAAGCAGCAATGTGTTCCCCACTATCATGGCCTTTGTACATTAAACTTAGTATATTTGGATTTGTTTTGCCTCCATTGCAGCTGGCTGTTCTCTTTGCAGCTGCACCATGTCCCTGGGCAGGCTTAAACCCAGAGTAGATCCTGCACATGGAGAAGATTTACACCAATGAGGAATTCCACAAAGATGGTAACTTTTGTTAAAGTCTCTTATTGCTCCACACAGGCTCTGGGAGCCTCCTGATATGTTACGGAGCTGGATCCTGAGGAGTAAAGGAAGACTAAAGGGGGGACCACTGTCTAGCTGTCACCAGCCCCTCTGAACCTTAAACACAGCAGCAGGAGAACACCGGGGAAGCTAGTCTGACTCCTTCTCTAACCAGCCTACTGAGCCCATCTTACGGAATACAGCTGTGGTATTACAGCCAAGCCCGTGTCGGTGTGATGCTGGAGGTGCAGACCTCCATTGCAGGTTGATGTAGCTAACGCATTTCAAAGTTCTCCAGGAACGTGGCTCGTTCCCCTCACCCCCACTGTAAACAGGATATGTAGAAGTAAACAATTTTTAATACAATCCTATCACATGGACAGGGCCATGTCATCTGTTCTAGCAAAAACCTGGCTTGTGAGAGCGAGCCTCAAAATCAGTGGACCTTCCTTGGTAGGAGCCCTCAACTCTCCCCACTCTGGTTAGGGTTAGACCTCATAACAGCTAGAGTTGTCCCTCCAGGGTCAGTTTTTAAGTTCAGTATCAAGTGTGGTCAGTCAGAAATCAGGAGCCACTCTTGTATGAATATGAGCTGCAGAGACCAGGCAGGCCTGAGCCTCTGCTTTAGCTCCCCTTTTCCCAGAAGCTGGAATTTCCCCAGCTGCAAAAGCCTTATGCCAAAAATGTATACGAGGGGGGAGACGGTTCCGCCAGCAGCAGCAAGGTGGAGGAGCTGGGCAGGAAGATGATGTCAAGCAAGAGGAAAGAGATGCCCCTCCCCAGAAAGCTTTATGTCCTTGCGAAAGCTGCAGGTTTAGAGCTAATCCCTCTTTCGATGCTGTTGCCCTAGGATGAGTTGGGCAGGGCCCAGAGGATTCAGAGGTGAGGTTTGGGGAGACACCACTACCTGTAAACTGTAGGACTTCCTCACTAGTCTAGTGAACGTGGAGCACTCTGCAGCAAAGCCGCCATCGGCAGGAAAGCAAAGGAGAGAAGCATATTTAGACTGACAGAAACGAAAGGAGAAATGACCCAACTGGCCAAAGGCTAGCAGCCCTAGAACTCTTCCTAGGAAGTGTTTTCTAAAGCCTATAAGGCACTACGGTCGATCTAGCTAACGTCAAGCTGGTTTCAAAACACATCTGCGATGCAAAAGCTGAAGTGGAAATGTGAGATCTGAAGGTGGGTGGAATCAGGGCAGGGCTGAGAGGGTGACTTTACACTAACCAGGTGGCTAGCCATACGCTCTGCCAGCAGTGCATTTAAGTCGGGGCGTAGTCAGGGCTTCACTGAAGTTTCCAGAGAGGGGAAGGGGGCACTCATGGATATCTAACGAAAAGGATTCCTTAGTACCTCCTCTGCAGGTGAGGACTTGAAGCAAGTGGCACTCCCTCGGTTTGAAATCTGCCTCCCCACCCATACAGCGGTGCTGGAGAGAGCGCATAGCCTCTGAGGGAGTAGCAGAACTGGAAGCCTCTGGTGGGTGATGGCTTAAATCTCACTGGAGGTGGTAAGCAGGTTAAATGGAAAGTTCTGAGACAAGCACCCTCTAAGTCAAAGCAGCTCTCCTAGGAGTCTGCCTGGAAGTTGCCTTCGGTGCCATAACATCTCCCTTGGGCTTCCTCCTGGCATGTGTGAGCAGGTGCGTTCTAGCCATGGATGTAGCCATAGCAACCAACAGTTGCAAAGGCTGTACTGAGGAGCCCTGCTCTTAGAGCCTGGCGTCTGCTGTCAGTTGTCCCATCCATGCACAGCTAGCATGGGTTCAGGGCCCAAAGCGAGCGTTGAAATACGAGCTTGAGACTCTCGGCCTAAGCCAGGTGTAGTTAATACAGTCTTGGACTTGGGGGAAAGAGCCTCTGCCTGCAGGAGGCCGCCTGATGTAGACAGTCACATGGAAGACCAGTTCTATTGTGAACAGGAGTATTGGGGTGCTTCTAAAGAACATGGGTCAGGAAAACAGCAAGGGGGATGGACAAACAACGGGCAGAACAGCACGTAAACCTGTGTTATGTTTCAGTGCACCCTGTGACGGATGAGGGGCTTCCAGTAGTGAGAAAATCCACCCCTTCATTACCCCCCCCCCCGGAGTATCTTAGATGCTGCTCAACAGCCCCGCTAAGCTGGGAATCAAACGTAGACTAACCAAACTGAACAGACGAGTTACAAAGCCAGACAGTCCTCTCTGGTTGATAACCAAACCCAAACGTCCTAACCCCAAATAACCATCTTGGGAAGAAGTGAGGGTATTTCAGGTCTGACTGTGGCTATCCACAGTACAGAGAAGCATCTCGGGGGGGGGGGGTTGCAGGAAAGAGCGACTGGGTCCCATTCGTGGGCTTGTGCTATGCTGGTTACGGTCTCTGTGTGAAACCTTCAAAACACAAGGTGTTTAATCAGATGGGGGGAGCACATAACGACAACTCTATGCTACTGCTCTGCTATTCCCCTAATGCACAGCACAACCTTCCTGGTAAGGTGCCTCCCAAATCTTCTCTGGTCACTGCATTCAAGCTCAGCAGAGGTGTCAAGGCTTACAGGTTTTAAAAAACAAAACTAGACACCATCCTTAATCTAGCCCTAATGGAGTTATTGCAGCCTCCTTCACTTTTATGGGATGGTACAGCATACCGAGTAGACAGACAAGTAGCAAGCGGGCGCACAAAAATGTCAACGAAGAGAAATAAGACTGAAGTGTCCGCACAGACAGCAGGCCTGTTACTCCTGTGACGATCGTGTCTGATTAGCTCAGCAGGGCCCTTCTCTAATTGTGAAGCTAGTCACATCCTACCAATACTTCGGTAACCGGGTGAGAGATTTAGTCTGGAAGCACAACTCGTGTCTCCTGGACCCGTATCTCAGCAGGGGTTTGCAGCAGTTTGGGGAGACATTTCTAGCGTGTGTAAGAAATCACAGGGTAAAAGGGTGCTGTGCTTTACGCTGAGCAAGGTCTAAAGCGCTACTCAAACCATCACACAGAGTCAGTCCCAGAATGTCAGTGCGGCTCCAAATGCAGGCCAGGAAACTTGAGATTCCCACCTCCTTACCCCTACATCCCACTGACCAAGCCTGGCCAGCATTCTCCTTGCCCTTTGGAGACCACAGTTATTGCACAAAGGGCAAACAGGCTTCTGCAGGAGCCTTGAAACCATACAGTGAGTGACTAGCGGTCCGGCCCCCCTACCTCCAATACTGCCAAGTCCTTCACAGCTGAAGTTTGGCACAAGTGACTTCAGATCTTTTTTTTCAGCTACGTTCTGCTTTTGTCATATACATCCACCCTACAGTTCAGTTGGTCACCTGAAAAATCTGTCCCATCCACTCCACAGGCCCATTACAGAATTAGTCTCTCAGCTGCCAAATTCCACAGCGGACCTTTTTTATTTGGGTGCGGGGACGACAAGGCTCTTTCCACTACAGCACCGATCTTGCCTAATCAATTTCTCTTCCATTTCGTTAATTTTGCTACCCTACTCTAATGTCACTTGCTTTATAACCTGGGCAGCACCTGCCTGTTAAGGAGCCATCAGGTTCTGAGCCACATGACTGTTTGTTTCCAACATGGGGCTTCAAAGACTTTACTTTTTCTACAATCTCCCAACTACAGAGCAAGCCCAGTGAGCTTCTCTCCCCTAGATAAAGAATATTAACTTTAAAAAACAAACTTGGGCACATCCGGACTTTGAGCCTTGGTACTTGTCAGCAGCTGAGGGAATGCTTTGCAGAGATTCTAATTCCAATCAGTGTTGGTAAAAAGACACAAGTCTTTCCCAGAAGACCCTGTAGCATTCTAGTTGAATAACAAGGCTGAAACGGTGGGGGAAAGGGGTGGGGATGTGGGGGAAGAGAAACCTGTTCTTCTTGACCTCATTCAATAGTCTTGTAACCAACTGGGCTGCAAAGATTCTATTCTTCTGAAATCTCACGTGACCAAAACAAACGGAAAACTTCCCATTGCCAGAGATCCTGTTGTCAGGTGATCTTCAATACCGTCTTCTTCCCTCTCTGCATGTAAGTAATGGAGATTGTAGGTCCCTGGTAAATAAACCTAGAAAAAAATAAAAAACAGATCAGATATTGCCATTGGTTCACTCACCAGGCTAGGGGCTGTACCTGGAAAAATGTAATGTCTTGAAAGCCTCTCCGCTGGCTGGCCAAAATGGCTAGCCCTGACAGTGAGAGATATCGGACCTTTCAAATCCTCTCATTCTGCTCACCTTCTTTCCCACCTCCCTGCATTTCACTTGCACCATTTTTACCTGCCCATTGCTGATAGATTGTAAGAATTGGAGATTAAGGCTTCACACCGATTGGAATCAGCTATTCCAATTTGCTTTCATCTACTATAAAGCAATGGCTTCTAGTGGCATAAAACAGTAGTTGCTTTTAAAAAAAAATCAGAAATTCAACTGGGAAGGGAAAAGTAAAGTGGTAATAGAGTGAATGGATTCTGAGATCAGACACTTGGTAACTGGCCATGGGTGGAACTGACTGTAGATGCCACTGCAGAGAGATTTAAGTACTTGTTTCCAGTCCTGATTAGTCTGAAATATTGGTCTTTGAAACTCACACATCCCTCAGCCTAGCAATGTTCTTGTCACTGATCCAGGACTGGCTAGAGCAGGTCTGGACCTCAGAATGTTGTTTTTCTTCTCCAAAACATATTCACAGCTAATCAATGTATTAATCTTGGCAACATGCTATTTATACATGGCCCAAACTGTGTTCGAGCACTGAGCTCAGTCACTTAACCATGCATAACACCACATTCTATTTAAGTAATGTAGCTACATCCTAAAAGGGGTCTGCCATGGTGTGCTGGAGGAGTAGCTATTAAGACATGAAAGCACATTTTCCAGAGGCTCCATATGACGTGTTCATGAGCATGCCCATTTAAAAACACTTTCAACTGTACATACACGTCCAACTCAAGGAGGAACAGTGGGGATGTCCCACTCAGGTATGACATGATGTCCCACTTCAATTCACTAACAGTGAGAAAGCATCTTAGGCTTCTCAAGTTGTTGTGCTGGAGGCAATTAAAAAAAACCCCTTTGCTGTACACACAGTGAGAAACTCAAGAGGAGCAGAGACTGTTTCCTACTGGCTGTGACTGTTAACTCTCAGGGATGCTCGATTCCATCTCTGCGTGCTAATTGCTATGGTCTGCTCGTTAGCTCATTCATGCGACTTACCGAACAGAAGGGGGAGTCAAGTTTTGAAGGGGCTAGACTGGCAACATGAGAACGTTCATATGCCTTCGTTCCATGTTTGACTTGTAACTAATCGCTAGAGGTCACACGCTTTGTTGCTTCTGCAGGCCAAGTTCATTGCACACACCTGTCTAGTCCTCCCACAAGCTGATGTCTGCACTGACCAGATCCAAGTGCATTCCCCGACATTCTGACATTGATTGGAGGTGGTGTTCAAAAGTGGTCATGTTCCATCCCAACAGAGAAATGCCATCAGGTTGAATGTAGGATCTCACTTTGCCCAGCCAGTAATACTAGAGGCTGGCCCTCTTTACTGCTGGTGTAGGTAGGGTTCCCAGCCCTCCAGGATTGTCCTGGGGTATCCAGAAATTAAAGATTAATCTTTAATTAAAGATTGTCATGTGATATCTCCTGAAATACATCCAACCAAAACTAGCAACCCTAATTGTAGATCAAGCTCACTGCATGTAGCGGGAGCTCCTTGATTCCCTTCATTCTGTACCACTCTCTGAAATCTTGGAATTGATCCGATGCAGTGTTCAAAAGTTATATGGACAAGCGGAGAAATGTCATGTGTAGTATACTGCCTTGCTTTTGTTTGGCCAATCCCATCAAGCTACAAGACAAACTCCGAGCCAGGGTATGGTGGCAGTGAAGTAAATGGGAGTTTCATGATCAACCTCAATGGGGACAGAATGTGCCCCATCAGAAGTGTCACCATCAGAGAACCTTGGTATCCCAGGAGAGCCAACAAGTCCTCCCCCCTCCAATGAGTGAAATCAGTTTCCCACTAAAACAGTGCTGCTGACTTAACAGTGACAGAATTAACCTGTTGAGGAAAGATGGTTATGCCCCAGAAAATCACTGAAATCCCTTTATGTACTAAGAAATCTTGTTAAAGAATAAACTTCTTAAAGGAAGAAACCTCCTCTCCTGGTGCTTGAAGCAGAGTGGATTGATTTAAAAATCAGACCAATTTAAATCACTCAATTATAATCATGGTTTAAATCGGCAAGCAGGAAGCCTCGATTTAAATGAATTTGAACTAAAAAATACAAAGGCAAAACAAGATTATCTTCCTAAAGAAAAGTTGATTCTCACTGATTGGTAACCATTAAAACATGTTGACTTGCAACTAAATATAGTCTTTACACTAAATTTGGTATTTCTTTTTGCTTACCAGGGCAACAGTGCTAGACCAACCCAGAAGCAATAAATTGTATCTACACACATTTATTTAAGCAGTCATATAGCTTAACATACATTTATTCAGATTCTTAATTTTCACTTTTTTATTATGTTAAAATTCTGAATGATACTTATTTACTAGATATTTTTTAACTTGTGATTAGTGTCAAGCTCTATTTGGATGGAAATTGGAATTTAATAAATGTGCAGAAACTGTTTTTTTTAAATTAAATAAAACTACCTCAAATGTGCTTGGGGGGGGGAGAGGGAGAAGAGGGGTTATCAAAACATATTTTGCATTTAAAACCAATTTATTAAACAAAGGAAGTATTATATGTAGTTTGTGAACTGAAGTGATTGTTTCTGGTCATCAAGTCTTTCAGGATTTTAGAACTAGTAGATCTTATGCTCTCACACCTAGTTTTTAGTCATTGATTGGAAGAGGAAAAAAGCCTTCCTGCTTTTTCAATTCCCCATTGGTTTCTTAACTTTGAAAGAACTAGTCATTGAACTAACTTAGTTGAATAAACTGAAATGAAGAAAATATTGTCTGTCGCTGTGGAAGAGGTTACTACTGACAAAAAGCGGTTTAGCACTTCAACACACTCTGGTTCCAGCTGCTTAGCCAGTGACCTTCCAGCAGTTCAGTGCTGCCTTTTTTTAAATTTTGGCAGAAAACATGTACAGCTTGATTTTTTTATTTTAATAGATTAGAGTAAATTTAGGCCTTAATGTAGGTTGTCTAATTTTAATAGGTTGATTTTATTTTTAAAGAAATGTATTTATTTAAATAAATCAGTTTAATCTATTTTTATCCACCTTGGCTTGAAGCAGTGAAATGGGAATGTATTTATTAACTATGCTTTCTAGGAGGGTATATATGAGAAACGCTAGTCAGAATAGTGTGCTAGTATATTGACCAGATAAACTTTCACTACAAAGACAAAGCATTCTGCCATGGGCAAAGGCACCTGGAACATTAAGAGCATGTTTCTTAAAGGAAATTACACAGGAAAATTTCTAGAATGTTTCTCTTATGCTGCAGCCTCATAAACAGGGTAGTATGGCTCTTCTGCTCCAGTTTCACTCCAGAAGAGATCCCGCATTTGAAGCGTTCGAGAGATTTCCCCAAGTTCAAAGTTTCCCAAAATAACTTTTGACAAAAGGAGAGATGAAATGATGCACGCTGTTTCAGGGTGTGTGTGCAAGAGTTTTTAATCCCTCCACTGATGACACTTATAGGCTTAATTAGCTAAAAAAAGTTCACGTGGACATCAACAGCTTATCAATTACTACACCGAGACCTGGTGCATGCAGTTGGGAGTTCTTGTCCACAGCACAGGAGGGCACCCATGGCCCAGGTCACACTGAAGAGAGCCGGAGATGGCATGGGGGCAGTCCTGCAAAGGGTATCAGTCAGTTATTTTTGGTAGCAGAGTGTTCTTACTAATGTGGGGGAGGCAGAGATTAACCTGCAGATTCTCACATTAATCACATTATCTCCCCTGCATGGGACGAAAGGGCATGGAAGAGTGGGGGAGGGAGTTAATCACTACCTTCATTTGCTAGATTCTACATCATGCTGCTTAAGTGTATACAGAAACAAAGCAACCTAATTTCCTTCTCTGACGGGGTTACTGGACTAGGGAAGAGGGCGGAAGCAGTAGCTGTAATATAGCATGATTTTAGTAAGGCTTCTGACACAGTCCCACATGGCGTCCTCAGAAGCAACCTAGGGAAATATGGTCTAAAGGAAATTACTATAAGGTGGGTGCACAACTGGTCGAAAGGCCGTACTCAAAGAGTAGTTACCAAGGGCTTGCTGTCAAACTGGGAAGGTGGATCTAATGGGTCCTTGAAAGGTCTGGCCTGAGTTTGGTACTATTCAGTATTTTCATTACTGACTTGAATAACAGAGTGGAGAGGATGCTTATAAAATCCGCAGATGACACCAAGATGGGAGGCGCTGCAAGCACTTTGGAGGACAGGATTACAATCAAAATAACCATGACACATTCAAGAATTGGTCTGAAATCAACAAGATGAAATTCAGTAAAGACAAGTGCAAAAACCTCCACTTAGGAAGGAAAAATCAAATGCGCAACTACAAAATGGGGAAGAACTGGCTAGATGGTGGTATTGCTGAAAAGGATCTAGGGGTTACAATGGATCACAAATGATGAGTCTACAATGTGAAATTGTGAAAAAGGCTAATATCGTGCTGGGCTATATTAACAGGAGTGTTGTAAGTAAGACTGAAGGTGTCCTGCTCTACTCAGCAGTGGTGGGGCCTCTGTTGGGCACCACATTTTAGGAAAGATAAACTGGAGGGAGCCCAGAGGAGAGTTACAATAATGATAAAAGATTTAGAAAACCTGATGTATGAGGAAGAGTTAAAAAAACTGGGCACACTTAGTCTTGAGAAAAGAAGACTGAAGGGGGACCGGATAAGTCTTCAACTACTATGGGTCATTAGAACTATTAGGGCAGTTAAGCTCTGGCATAGGTTTCCAGGGGAGGTTGTGCAATCCCCGTCATTGGAGGTTTTTAAGAACAGGCTGGATAAACACCTGTCACAGCTGGTCCAGGTTTACTTCATCCTGCATCCCCCACAGAAGGCTGGCCTTGATGACCTCGTGAGTTCCCT